AGGTTTCAGAGGGGGTAGGGAATTATAGATGGGGCGCCTTGACTCGCGCGTCCACCCTTGTATACAAGTGCTAAGATCGTGCCTGAAGACCGTCCAAAAGCGATAATTAGCTTATCCTCTTGCGACACCACTACTCTATTCTAGTGGCGCTATGATCCCCCGACCAGGAGAACATAGACTTTTTTCCGCTCCCCTTTCTCTCCAACAACAGCCCAGTTAACTGTAGTCCTACACGACCAGCCTATACACCCGCCATCGAGTTCATCACAACGATGAAACACAGTTTTGTTCTACAATTGCTTGCCACTGCCCACCCGTGATCAATTAGCCTATCATTTTATGTGTGCACCCCGGACCGCCACCAGCTCCTCTAGCATAATGTAGGGAACGCTTCCAAGCAATGTAGGGAATGTTCCTCCAGCAAAGTAGAGAGCTGTGGCGCATCGGGTGATGCACGCACCTCGCACTGCCCCGGCCTTGCCAGCAATGTAGAAGACGGTCACAAACGAGTGCTTTTAGACCATCTCGTTTTTAATAGAGACGGCGGTGGTGTGAGTTAAAGCTATAGACAAAAAGGCTGTGACTTTCTTCCTCTCAGCTGCACGGCTGCAGCCACCCAACAACGGGGGGATATTTACACACACCCCCGCGGATGCTTCTGCAGCCGTGTTTAGAGAGGCGAAGGGGGGAAATATCTTGGGCTGCTTATTTTTAACTGCTGTGTTGGCCGCTGAAACCCCCAGAATTTGGCGATTCGTTCAATACAAATCTTTACATTGCTTTCATACAGAAGCTCCACTTTACTGATGTATTTCTTTAAAGTTACTCTGAACATAAGCTGTGCATGCTTGTATGGTACTTCCGTTCCAAGCAGCATACACAGAGACAATCAGCCACATGTTCATTAACCAAAAAACGAAACACAACCGCTCAGTTTCACAGGTAATTTTAGGATACCGTCAATCACAGATTCTGGTAAGGCAATGTCCAAATGTGGATTTGAAATTACACTTACCAGTTCTGAAGATGTGTTGGTATCCTGCCGACAACGCCAATTTGTAAGGGAAACTTCTCCAGCAATGGAGAGTCAGGACTCTTTGGCTCTGTGACCGAGAGTTGACCGGTCATAAAACTGAGGCTAAGTGCTGGAGCACATTCCTTAAAGCTGGCGTCACAGATCATTGTTAGTGATAAACGTCAACAGGCAATATGGTTAAATATCTTAGGAGTAAGGAAGAATTATTCTTTGACACTTAGGAGTAAGACAGAAATATTCCCTTACATAAGTGGCTTGGATAAAAGCGTCTAACAAGTGACATGTCATGTAATCTAACACTCAGAGCTAAAGCTGTACTGGAGATAGTATGTGTAAAGAAGCTGGATATAAAAAGGTAGTCACCTTGGGGTAAACCCTCGAGAGAGAAAGTGTTTGAGCTCCATACTGTTTCAGAAATAATGCTTGATATGGTGTGGAACCTTAGTAACACGGCTGAAATAGAGGGGTATGAGGCATGCTACAATGGGTGATCTGCTTGGTATTTTGAGCAAAACACTCCAGAGACATGTTTTGTATAGATATGGCCCTATAATATATTGTTCAAATATAGCATAATAGGTGAGCTTTAACTTCACTGGATAATGAAATGGACAAGCTAACGGCGTTAGCTAGGAGTCACACGAAATGTCTCGAGCGTAGTATAATGTGCTTTACAGAAACATGGCTATATCAGGATATACCTGACAACAACGCCTTTTGTATCAATGGGATTTTCACGGAACATTTTCATAAACAACTTTTGAAACATTTCCGTTGATGGCTTCCGGGCATACTTGCCAACCCTCCCGATTTTCGCGGGAGACTCCCGATTTTATTGCCCTCTCCCGGTTTCCTCCCGGGGTCATATTTCTCCCGCATTTCTCCCGATTTCTGACAAAATCAGATTTACTCAGGACTGTTTCCACTCGGACTTTAATACAGCTACACCATTGTTTGGTTTCCATGGTAGCGCGTCTCTTTAGTAGTGCGCGCAACTGACAATCTGAGAGGGTGAGGAAGAGAGTCACAGTAAACTGAACAAGAATCGACAACTCTACCCTCTGCTCACTCCTTTCCATGCTACAGGCCGCAAGACAGTGCACTAACAACTGCAATAAGCATGTTAATGTTAAGCTAATACAGCTCCGGCGATCCACTAGTCGCCCCCCCGCGGTGGTTTTGAAATGCTCCCGATTTCTGAGGTCTCAAGGTTGGCAAGTATGCTTCCGGGCGGTTTGGGTATACAGGGATTGCACCAAGAGAATCAACATGCATGTCTTCACCATGAGTCTTCAGAGGGTCCCTGTTTTAAGGAAGCAATCCTGCCTCGTTCCTGTGCCTAAAGAGTTGTGTCCCAGTCACTACAAGGACTTTTATTGCTAGTTTTTCTTCACCTTCTTTTGTTTATATAATATCTATTCCTTTATTCTAAAGTGGTGCAATTGTCATGAAACCTAATTATCCACTGGAATAAATGATGTTTTTGATTATGATGATTCTGAATTGAATGTCTTCACAGTTCTTCCAAAAGAACTTGGAAAGGTTTGGGGAGCCATTTTTCAGTTTCAACATGGCAATTCCCTAATGCATAAAAGCGCAGTTGATAATCATATTGTTTGCAGAGAGCTCTCACCTCAAGCTCATCCAAAGCACGCCAAAATGCAAATCACTGTAGCCTGGTTCTAAAATATTTTGCAAAGCCTTCCCAGCAGAGTTGGGGATGCATATTAATTATACCCATGGTCTTATAAACTACATATTTAACAATCACATTATAGGTGAAATGTTGTTGATGTTTTTAAACCTTTTTCTCAGTGCACTGTTCAGGTCAGGAAGCCTCATTAATTAGCCAAATAGGTACTATGTGTAGTTTCTGTAATATAACACCCATTAAAAATGCGAATGTGTTGCCTTAGCAGTTCCCCATAGATCTTCCTATGCCGAACTAATGGGGAAGTTTCACTTGCATCACACACACATCTTTTGTCCGACACAAGATTTCCAAACTGTAGAAAAATATACAAGAATTATTTTTCCAAAGACAAGGCAACATTATTGAAAAATCTATAATGGGTACTGGAAAACATTCAAGTGAATTAACTTTCTGTCATTAGTGGGATGCTGACAGCAGCACAATATTGATCGTGGCTCATCATTACTGACAGTCTTGTACGTAAGTGGTGTACCATAGAAAGACCTACATAACATGTATCTCATGGTTCCTTCACAGGGAAACAATGGCGTGTAATCAAGTGCATATTTATTAAATTGATAACAGCATCACTGGCTGCTTACAATCCACTGCATAACATAGCTGTATTTACAGATGAAAGCAGCCCTACTGTATGTCACTGCATGGTGAAATAACAGCCCTGCCCACTTTCCAGTAAGCGTTTCTTTCATGCCTTCACAGCTTCAGTGTTGTGTATTGCAAGTTTAACGACATTAAGATCCAAAGTTCTATACTTTGACTTAAAAAAAGGACGAAAAAATTAAATATCTGGGTCGTCAGGCCTCTACAGAGAGGATGGAGTTCGTAATCAATGGGAACCGGTCAGTCAATACTATACGCTACTATATGCTTATAAGGTCAACGTCAATCATCAAAGTAAACATTTGTAGTGTCAAAAGTAAAAGTAGTAAAAGTAATTCAAATGTAAAACACTGAGAAGCCAGGGTAATACCAGTTTAAGTGTAAGCCTGCTGCCTGCCACTTGCCGGCAGACTGGCAGGAGATCGATACCCTATTGCTTTTAATTTAACTTTATATCAACACCAATCTTCTATCTCCAATGACATTGTTTAATTGTCTTCCTGACTGATCATCATAATTTGGCTTCTTGTAGATAAAAAAAATGCAAGGTATTCTTAATTTTGTCTGTTGAGTGTTTGAATCCAAAAAGGGGCGCGTCCATGACGGGAAAGTACCCGGATGGGTTGCTCTGATGTACCGTTTATGTAAATAGGACATCTTACTGTCGCATCAGAAAGGCTTCACGTTGCAAAATATGTGTATTTTTTTGAAGCAGTAACAAAACAAGACAATTTCTGCATTTCATTTGTCAGAAGAAGGAGCATCCAAACTTCACACTTTAATGAGGTAACCAACTGATATGTGCCCTGCTGTTTCTGCTAATGCGGTGCAAAGCATGAAATTAGATCATGTTGTAATTGACTGACTTCTTTTTAGAATGCGTTTGCTTCACTGCTGATTACTCTGTATTCTGAGAGAGTGGATGTCAGGGTTGTTGTTGCCACAGTAACCATGGCTGTTGGCACACATCAACAAACTGTACAGGGGACTGACAAAAAGACAAGGTGAGTAATATGAGTCTTGCTGCTCTTTAATTTACCAAACACATTACATTTTACAATTCTCACAAACACATATATGCATAATATACTTTGTATACATATAAAACGATAACAATTATCCATTAAAGCATAACAAAAAAGCATATATGTATTTTTGCTTTCTGTTCAACTAAAATCTTTATGATGTATTTAGGTACGAAGTTATACAACGTGCTTTTATTTTACAAGGTAATGCCAAGTTAACATTCAAACTTTTTTGTTTAATTTTTTGAATAGAGTATGAGGTACACCAAACCTTTTGCCTCATATACTTGTAGATATGAAGACTACTCTGGACAATTGACTGATCAGATCAGAGTATTTAATCATTGTGGTTCCATACAGTGCCTTCGACTGCTCCGTGTTTATTTCCAGCCTTTTAACAATATATATGCATGTGTGTATGTAAGATAACCTTTTTTTTTACCATGTAAATAGTGTGAGCGGTTTCCTACTGCACTGTTTCACCAGATGAAACCATATTGAGAAGTTATCAAGATTACTTCTCAATACATATTTGTCAATTGGAGATATTGTTATACTAAAGTGTGTAACTTTCTCTTTAATTAGGTAAGGTAACAACCAAGAACAAATTAACTTGTTGATATTGGTGCATTTTCTTAACTGAATCGTCAGCTGTCTAAAAAACATTAACATCAATTGAGGAATTGTTAAGGATATTTTTGCTGTTATTAATGGTCGATTCATCAGCCTTGTTCAGATCAGGCCCTGGAGTTTCATTAGTATTTTCATATGGGATCCCGAAAAGACTGCAGATTTTCTTCAGCATCAGGTCGACAATCTCCTCTTCGTCTGAGGGCTGGGAAAGAGAGAACAGATGACACAATCACGTTTGAAGTGATAAGAAATATTGCAGAGATGGTCTTGACACTTCTAACCACTGAGAACATTAAATGTACTTCAAGACAATGTGAAAAAACCAACATCGCAGAATTGGAGCGCAATTCAGTACACATAAAAGCCCACAAAGAATGACAACGGAACAATTGTGTTTCATTTACTGCAGGTGTATCATTGCTTGTGTATAAAAGGAAAACTTGTTTCATCCTGGAAATGAAGAGAGGCTTGGAGATCCATTTCCAATTAAATGCAACTGAATTACAGTAATTTCATGTGTAATATCGAGCAGGGAGTGTTTATTAAAAGCTGTATTAAACATCACAGCTTTAATCTAAAACAAATTACAGAACATGAGGCATTACTAGACTAACCACACTTAGAACAAATGTCCCCTCACTCCTCAGAAAATCACAGACCCCCAGCCTCTCAGCAGGTTCAAGAACTGCCAGATATCTTCGTAGGGTGTTGAGTTAATCTAGAGACCATCTTGCAATTGGGTCACACCATACCAGCTGTAACACCCATTTGATCAAGGGGTTTAGAGTGTGTGTGTGTGGGGGGGGGGGGGGGGGGGGAGAAATGGTCCCTTATCCGCTTTCTACAACATCATCTTCAAACTCAGCCTTCAATTTGATCTCAACTACACAACTATAAAGTTTCCTATGATGCTATCACATTAGCTTTATCTGTCTTCAGACATATACACCGTAGGTGAGGTACACAAAGCCTCCTCTGTGGAAGTCTCGATACAGCAGGTGTCTGGGAGAACATTTTTCCATGATAACACACAAGGGGAAAAACAATAACAGATAACACACCGTTGCCGTTATAGGAAATGCACATAAGAGGTTAAGTTAAGCACAATCAAATAATGAAAAAGGCATTTTAAAGTGATAGAAATGTCGCAATTAATGTTTATGAATTTTGAAACATACTTTGACGAGGAACTGGATAATGCAGTGGTCGGAACATGTCACTTACACAGTAGCAATGCCAAAACAACCTAACTTGTGATACTATTTTGTATAAATCAATAGACTTCTACACAATCAAACCTTTTTTGCAACCAGTTGAGTTGCCCCCTGCAGTGGTTACGCTTGACAGGTAAGCCACGATTGTTAAATGTAAATGTTTCTCTCGACTTATGGTAAGGTTTAGGATGTATAGCATATCATTTATCATGTATTTAATTCATAGTGAACACTTTGCAGCTCCATCCACAACCATCAAATGTTGCAGAATAATTTTCAGCTATGTTTCTAAAGCATGAAAACTGATTTATTTTTATTTTTACTAAATTACACATTCTGGTGCAATTTCAGTATTATGTGATGGTGAGCCTACTAAACCTCAGCTCTTAGAGATTAAAATGCTAGTTGAATTTATATCCAATTCAACAAATGCAGAGTAAAGGTGTGCAGTGTCAACCTTCAGCCGCTTTTACAATAGCCGAGTCTTCTATAGGAATTGTCAACCTAGGACAGGACGTTGAAAGGAGTCAGATCCATTAATATGTTCACACTGTTCTCTTGGCTGTAAAGATTGACAAGGGTCTGGACTTGGCAGCATATGGACTTGGCAGCATATGGACTTGGCAGCATATGAACTTAGCGTGAGGAAGCATAATGAGGAAGTGAAAGCTCCGGAGATCATTGGGTAACTTTGAATTCAGCCTTGTACCTTAGACAGCAGGATCCATCATTGAGGAGGCACACTGAGGCAGCTGGCATTTTAGTTCAATTAATTTCCAGCCCTTTCACATGGATGTATTTGTAGTCAAGAAACTATATGACCTCCATAGAAGGTCTGTTAATTGCTTGTTGGAATGTTTGAATCCCATCCTTGCTTTTGGGCTGTGCAGCATCACTATGAATATGTTTGGCATTGGTAGCATCAAAGACTGACATGTACATTTCAAAGTTATATGATATTTTGCCTCGTTGCACAGACGCATGAGAGCAACAATATAATTTATCTGGAATTTATGTTTCTGACCAGATGGTGAATGTACTGAATCTCATATTGACTCTGTTTATTGATAGATGTACAGTTTATGTCCCTTAAGCTTCTTCTTTGTACGTTTTTCGGGTGGAAAAAACTGCATGTTAAGGCCAGAAATGACATTATTGAATGCTCTTTCTTAAAAATAGGGTTCTAGGGAACTCCCTTACTAGAATATTAGCATATACCTGCTGTAAACAGTTAGCAAATTATTCTGCATGCCATACAAATTATAATCTGCTCTAAAATATTTTTTTACAAAGATATACTAGTCTTTTAGAATGTATTATTTCAGTCGAAAAACCTTGATTAGTTAAACAACAACAACAACAACAACAACAACAACAACTAGGGATGCTCCGATCGCCAATTTCGGGGCCGATCGTCGATCGCCGGAATCAGTATCGGCCGATAACGATCGCCGATCCGATCGAGTGGGCGGGGCCTAAATGGAAGATTTAAACATCACTTTAAATCTTCCATTTAAAGTGATGTTTAAAACTCAGTTAATGGGGCTCATTCACTGGAGCTTCCACAAACAACAATCAACTTAATTATTACATTCAAATGATGTACATTATTCAAGTTTACATTCACTTTGCTTGGATAATAACACGGGAGAAATTAGCGGAAGCGCTCTCTTTTACTCTCTCCCGTCCCGGCCCGTCCACACAGCAGCTTTTTGCGATTTGTCCACCGCTTCCAGCGCGTCTCCGCCCATTGACTTTGAATGGGGATGACGTCACTTTCCCTCGCTTGTCGCCGAACTGCATTGTGGGGGGGCGAGGCGAAGATTTCCAGGATTTCCAGGATGTTCAGGATTCCAAAGTTGAACATTGTTCAACTTTTGAGGCTGAGCTGGAAGCGACAGCCAATCAGATCCGTGTATGCAAATCTGACAGTTCAAGCGCTAGCCAATCAAACCGCGTGCAAGCTGGGAGAACGAGACCCGCAGTTCATTTCTATATTCCACAAAAATGGAGGAGAAGTTAGTTATTGCAGTAGCAAATCACCCGGTTCTTTATGACCAGTCCCTATTTACTTACCGGGATACAAACCGGAGGAACCAGGCATGGGGGGAGGTGGCAGAGGCTGTGGGGGAAACTGGTAGGTTTTCGCTCGTTTGGGGATTGTATATCCAGTTTACTTCGTTGCTAGTTTACTTCGTTGCTAGCAAGCATAGACAGTATCATTAGCCAACATGGAATGTAGGATAAAATAGCACCATAAACATTAATCTCATAAATGTTCAAAATGTTAAAAAAATAAAAGTTCATCATAGCCCTTCCTATTTGACAATTTGACAATGACAATTGTGTTAGGTCTAACTCTTGTACGTCCACACAGCAGCTTTTCAAAAATCTTGAAAATCTTGGAGCTGGGCGTGTCTGAAAGCTTGGGGATTTTTTGCGAGCAACGCGACCAACAACCAATCACATGAATCTCCCGCCCCCGACATACAAAGCAAAAAAACCCGGGGATTTTATGCGAGCAATATATATATATAAACTCCCCAAACAGGCGAAAACCTACCAGTTTCACCCACTGTCTCTGCCACGTCCCTCCATGCCTGGTTCCTCCGGTTTGTATCCCGTTGATAGTTCTGGTCGTAAAGAACCGGGTGATTTGCTACCGTAATTTCTCGTTTGGAATATGAGGAAATGAACTGCGGTCTGGTTCTCCCTGTGTGTGTGTTTCGCTGCGCTTACCGGTCCGGCGGGCGGAGCTGCAGGATTTCTGCTTCACACACGTTGCATACCGCTATTGTACTGTCTTTTTCGGACACCTTAAAAATAATGCCAGACCGGTGAAGCCATTTTGGCGAGCATGTTTTGCCGCGCACAGAGAAAAGTGTCATGTATTTTACGTCATGCGATCGGCTCTCGCGATCGGCATGTTTAGAGAGCACCGATCGATTGGTAGAGAGTGAGTATCGGCCGATCTCGATCGGTGACCGATCGATCGGAGCATCCCTAACAACAACACATACAGTATGTGATAGGTATTACCTTGTGATATATTTGCTCCTGGTGGAATGCAACAAGAATCACTGATAGGAGAAGATTGAGCACCACAAAGGTCATGAACACAATACAGGATCCAAAGAGTATTCCACCGAGCACGGGGGTGTTGTCCAAGACCTGGCAAACAGTGCATCAGATTCATCAATGTCAGTTTCAAATAATACAGAACAAAGCTCAATTTATGCACATGGTTAGTCATCCAGCAGTTTGCCCTCATGAGTTACAACAATTCCAAAGTTTGAATTGCCTGCATCAAAAGCTTGATCGGGTACAGTCCGATGGCTAAGAAGATATCCCCTTTTATGCTTTAAGGTTGAAATAAGTACCCCTGACAACATGTGTTTTTGTATAAAGGGTATGGGACCATTTAAAGGCCAGAGCGAGATAAAAAAAACAGCATTGGTTAAATAAACTCTTTTGAATGGGAACTGTTTCAGTGTCAAGTGCAGAGTAATACAACTAGATGGACTGGAGCGACAGACATGTTGTACAATATAAATAGAAGGTCACTCTACACTCAACACAGTGGCGGTTCTAGAACATTTTACATGGGGTGGCAAAGGGGGGGAAAGAGGTCATGCCAGGGTGGCATGGGAGGGCGGACCGTACGTGGTATTTTATACTGTATAACCTATTTATTGTTAAATCATGCCCTAACACAAGTGTTCTTAATGCACAAGAGAAACAACGTGTTCAGACTAACAAACTAAAATATAGTATAAAACAGCAGAAAGTACTCATGATACCCTAGAATGCTGTTTACTGTAAGTACAGTAAAAGTACTTAGTTATAATTAAGTACACAAATGACATCACCCATCTCTTCAGAGAGCTAAAGGTGACCTGTGCAGCAACACATTTCAATGAATAGTTGTCACTACTAAGAGCCAGATTGTGCTGCTGTAATGGAATATGTAAGGAGAATAAAAACATACCATGTGGCCCATGCTGGAGTCTCCTCTGCCTCCTGATCCCTGCCTCTGTCCCTCTTTCTGACACTTCATCTTTATTCCTCACATTTCTTCTTCTTCACTAATGTCTTCATCTCCTCCTGGCTTCCTCCTGCTCTGACCCTCCTGGTCTCTTCAGTGTACGGTCTTTTCCTTTTCCTCTTTCTGTTCTTCACTTCTCAGATATGTCTTTTTGTTGTTGTTGTTGTTGTTGTTGTTGTTGAATCACTCCAGCTACTCTGTCCTGCAAGAGTCTGCTTGTGAAAAGCACTGGTACAAATGTTTGTATAACTTTACACGTTAGGGCCATGTAGCTAATAAGTAGTATAATAAATATAAAATAAGAAAGTATTTATCAAACACACACAGGCAGCTGTGTTTGACTGCAAAGGATGTATCCTGGTTTAATTTATCTGGCCTCATTGCTGTGATGTGTAATATACGTGGATTTAATAGTACTGCATAGTTTAGCAAATAAAGTGATCGATCTCCCAGCTAGCTAGCGCTGTCTGTGTAGTATTTTGTAACGTAACATCCCAAACAGCGATCGTCTGTTAAACGCTATCGATTCAAACGGCAGCGTTTTATTAATATTTTGTTTCAAGCTCTCGTCCTTATTAAAAACAAAACCAGTCGAAGGAGAAATGCTCCCAGGGGAAGCTGATCCACCTTCAGGTGCTGGGACAGCTCGGTTTCTCTGCAGCTGTGTGAGCCGCTGTCTGTGTGAACGCCGCTCTGCAGTTTAATGCAGGGCCGTAGCTACGTTTTTAACGGGCCTAAGATGATATTTAAAATGATTCACTTTTAATTAATGAACTGCTTGTTTCATTGCTTGAGAAGCTTGTGGACATAGTGTAGGTTTGTTCATACAAGTACAGTTTTAGGGACACAAAATGTAGGGGGGCAGCTGGGGGGGCAAGGCTCTACAGTGGGGGGGGGGGCAGCTGCCCCCCTTGCCCCCCCGTAGATCCGCCCCTGACTCAACACAATCTAAATTAGATAAAGGAATTCGAGCTGAACATATTATAAAATTAAAGTTTTTTTAACCCACTCAATCTCACCACTGAGTGAACTGCAGCTGGTTCCAACAGTATATCCATTGTCCTACAACACTGAATCATAACGTTCTTCTTTTGGGGCTAACACTATGTTACATTTAAGTAATACATTTGGTATCTGAATTATATTATATTATTATAAAAGTGTATAAGTGGTTATTATTATAAGAAAGAAAAACATATCTATATAACAGGTCATTCCAAACTTTTGAACAGTATTTTGTTAGTATTTTAGAGTTTGTATACCTCGTTGTAATTAAAGATGCCTATCTGCAAACTGATGAGGGTCAGGAGAGCATCTGTCAAAGTTTTATATGATGATACCTTCCAGCCGTAAATCACGTTGCTCTGAAGAAAGAGAAACCATTACATCAACAAAAGGAATGTCTGAAATCGTGACTTTCTGATTTAATTTAATATATACATTTGGATGTAATGGACTGATGTTTGGTCATTCATATATTGCCATTTTAACCATAGAAAACATGTACTATAAATTAGAAACATTTAATGTGTCAATATATTAAGTGCAACCTCCCAAAGCACCATCACTACACAATAACCCCAATACACACGGTCATTATTTTAATAAATGTATTTAAAATGTCAGTAGATCCAAGGAAACATATTGTACTCACCCTCCTACTGTACCGGGTGAACTAAATACAATTTAAGAATTTTAAACTGAACTCCCTTTTTTAAAGTGCCCTAATTTAGTAACAGATCCAGGGATATACAGGACTTCAAAAGTAATACAAATGTTTTAACATTTTGAGAAAAACTCCATGTCATAGTATTATTTAAACCCCACATTACTTAACATGCTTAACAGTGAATTAAATAAGAGCCAGACTCGACTCTGATCTTTGTGTGAGGGAAAGGTGGAGGTAAAGGGAAAATACATACTGAAATGGAGTAAGCAACGAACATGACAACAATGACCAGAAGTAATCCGGATACGTCACTCCAGGCGCGCTGCAGTGCAGCGGTGAGCATGTTCATCTTGGCGTTCAGTCTGAGCAGGTGCCACAGTTTGAAGGTGGAGAGCAGGACTAGGAAGGCGATCATATATTGGAGCAATGAGTCTGCTGAGGCTGTCTCATAAAAATTAGCAACTCTGTGTACACAGTGAAAATGTGATCCATCACAAATAGGAGAAAAAGAGTACCTTATTATTTATGACACTGAATCATTACAGAAGTCAAGATGAAAGCAAATAATTACACAACAAGACACTAATGGCGCATTTCCACTGCAGCGGGTAGCCCCGTTTAAGCGTCCTTAATCGTCCTCAAGCGGCCAGGCCAGTTTTTGGTGGCCTTTCCATATAGCCTAGCGGGTACTTTTTCCCTCTTTTTCCGGCCCCATAAAATGGTGGTTCTATCAGGCCAGGGCAGGGCTGAACTAGTGACTCAACACTCTCGACTGCTGATTGGTCAGAGAGAATCGTCACAAGATCGCGCGTGAGATCATCCCTAGCATCGCATATATATCTAGAAGCAAGCTTGCAGCATTTTTATACACAGCATTTTTGTAAACGGAGGAGCTAAAAAGATGGCAACGTCAAAGAAAAGCACACAGTGGTCGACCGAGGAGGTGACGACGTTCCTACATCTCATTGGGGATGATAAAATCCAGCGGGAGCTCGACGGAACAACTCGAAATTTGAAAAAAAAGCCGATCGCCCCGCCTACACTGAGTTGCTACCCCAGGTCCTAAACTGTAATGCAGTGGAAATGTGCCAAAAGAGTCTACAGCCATGTTACAGGCTCTATTAAACTTGATGTGATGCTAACATGCTAGCATGCTAACATGCTCTTAAATAAAAATGCTGAAAAGTTAAAGGTTTAAATTGTTCAACATCTTATTAGAGAATGTTAACATGGTAACATTTCTAGCATTAAATTCATCCTAATTTTAGCAAAATCTATCCAAAAGTTGTCGAGACATTTAACTGAAAATCACAAATTTGAACGTCAAGTTGGCTCTAAAGGAAATATCAGAGGATCATTCAAATTATAGGATTAATAGGTATCAGGTTACAACAATTTATACAGAAATTAATATTAATGCCATAGCCCTAACGCCTCTAGCATTGATAATGAGCATTAGAAAGTAAACACCTAAGCACAATATAAAGCGAACTGCATAACTTGTACGCCATTAAAGGTGTTTGCTTGACAATTGTCATAGAATACGAGATAAATGTAAGGTTGGACCTCAGGTTTTTGAGGCATGGATTATCTTACTGGTCTTTGTGATTTTGGTAGTAGGTTATGTCACGGTTCCCAAGCAGGATCCTATTAATGTAGATGGCCAAGGTGCTCCAGCTCAGTAAGATGATAGACAGCTCAAGAAGATTCCATGTGCTCCTGAAGTAAGCACACCGCTGCTGCTTCATTAATTTGGCCTGGGAGGAAAATAAAGAGAGATGTTCATATGGGACATGAACCTGTTTGTATGCAAGACTATGTTAATTATGAAGGCTTAACATCTTCCACTAAATACTTTCTTTATGTAGGCAAAATTATTTAAAATGATATTTGGGATTTTGTTTTCTTTTATTATGTTGGTAATACAAAAGGAAAGATTAATGGTTTACTTGTTTTGAAATCAGTCAACAGTTACTGCAATATGCATGTATTCAAACTGATTTGTATGCAGTATTTCTGAGTGACTGCTCATAATACTTTGATCTCAATGCTGTTTGATATCCAAACTTCCAAGTGATCTTCAAAGGAGTGTGAACAAAAATCTCCTGTATTAAATGTTGTCAAGTGCTGTAATTAAATAAATATTGCTTTGCAGGTGTTGCTGAAACAAAACACTACTAAGTAAAGGTTTTTTATATTCCCTGCATCCAAATACCAGTCTCAAGGGGACACACAATGTAACATTATTAGGGTTAGGGTTGGAATGGTGGATACCAGACACAAAACATTATCAAAATGTCTCTAAGATGAAGTATAATTAACTTAAGATGCAGCACTGCACAAGCTGTGCTGTAGATGAAAAATAAACAATGATTTTAAAGCCATTATAAAGAAGGAAAACACACAGAAAGATTCATGTCATTATATCCTCACACCAACATCAGCATTGCATTGCATCAACACATGTCGTCAGTATTTATTTCCTCGAATACACTTACTACGTGGGGCAATATAGTGTTTAGATAATAAGGTGCTCTGGGTCGGCTGTGAATTGCTCTTCGGAATTAACAAGCAAATTAACATTTGCTGAGTAAACAATGTCAACACATGTAAGTATGTGGTAAGATGATGTTAATGTCAATTGTGTAATTTATTAATCTCCCTATTCTCTGTCACAAACAGTCTTCAATGATGGAAAATTGTTCAAAAACTAAAAAGCAAATCCAACTAGGGTGACTGGGTTCATGTGCAGACTAATGAGCCTTGACCGCTTATTATCAGTTCAGTCAGAGTTTAGTGTTTGTGAATCACTCAGTGAAAATAGAAAGCCCTTGCCTGTCTTATTACCTGTAATACAATAGGGACATGAAAAACAAAGAGACAAGCAATTAATGGGAAGTGGAACAATATGTTGTTGTGGTCGTGTACCTGCAGGAACATGTAATAGAGGATGAAAAGCAGGTATATGATCTCAGCAGCCAAGACAAAGATGTGAAGACCACCAGTTGATTGGTAAAGACGAACACTCTGCAACTCACTATAGAATTGAAAAGCTCCTAAAAAATGATCAGAAACACCTTTATTAGTTATAATTACAGTTTGTAAGAAGCAACAGAATCTGACGGTACGTTGTTAGATGCAGAGATTGGTGAAGTGTTATACATCTGCATTAAATTCCCCTTAGCAAAGTTATGATAGCACAATGTTTGCACTTTTTAAGGGAAGCACTCAACCTTACCTACAGCTGTTGTCTCAAGCAAGAGTGTGACAATGCAAAAGAGGTTCACATTAGCGTTGTAAACGGTAAACTCCACAAAGATTGCCCTTGTGTATGCATCCAACCAAGTGTTCCTGAACAGATACTCAAGGGTGCTGTGAATGAAGGAGAACGTTTTTACTGAAGGCCTTCTTACATGATCCTACTGTATGTATGTAAAGCACCATATTTCAGCTTACATCATCCTTTGATTTTTATAAACAAATGTGTATTGAAAAGTTCAGTTCATTTATGTATATCATTTCCAAACTAACAAGGTTAACCAAAGGTCTGTAAAGTGGTAAACAACATATACAATATAAAAGACACATCAAAGCCAAGTAAAAATATGGCTGCCAATAACATAGAAACATCTAGAAAAATGTACAGGTAACTGTATAAAAAAGGGGGTTCACATCCATTCAAAACTTGATAACAATTGGTGGATCCGAAAATAATTATGAAATGGTAGCCATTGCAGGTTGTGAAGTGCTGGTTAAGCAGCCTAGAAGCATTCTTCACAACAAGTGTCAGGAATGACTGAGAGTAAAGGTAATTTCAAGATCAGTCTGTTATTGCTGAGTATTTCACGGTCAAAGTTGGGTTATGTCAATGTTAATATATTTATTTATAAAATCTAAGGGGTACTGAACCTACTTGCCAACTGAGGATAATTAAAACTTGTGGGCCAGTAAAAAAGAAAAAAAAGAAATAGAGATTATCTATTATTCTTGCAATGATTCATTCCCTTTTGCCAATGTACGTACCGGCTGGCGTTCTGTGAATCTGGGCTGATCTCCGCTACAAAGCCACCTCCTCTGTACAGTACCATTTTGCCCCAGAAAGGATGAGCCCTGAGCTGAGTCTGTGTTTGGTATGTCCATGGGCTGAAGGTGCTTCTAGACACATTCTCCTTAACCAAATGGTTCCAGCCAGGGTCATAGGAGCCCATATCCTCCAAGTCCCATGAATATGGAGCGTGACAGTCTGGTACAAACTGCTGCATGTAGCCTGCAATTTGACAGGAGTTCTTCTGCACTCTCAGTTGACGGAGACGGGCGTTACCTACTAGCTTGGAGTTTCCATCTGTGATAAATCCTGGAACAGAAACGTTTAAAGTTCATTTTTGGGAATTGTTCTGCGGCAGTGCTAAAGGAAGGTTAAGTGTGTGGTTTCAAAGATTTTGACCAGTAAATTGGGTCAAAGCCAAGGACAATTTCACTATTTGTCACATGCAATTGTTACTGAATAACATTGATGATGTTACTAAGTTTACAGATAAATACAAATCAATCGGTTTGATAAAGCACTTATATTATAGTGTGCAAAGTTTAACTAATGGGTTGACCAATGTTTTGACTCAGTTTCATTGTTTGACTACTGGGTTATTTAACCAACTAAAATATTGTTGTGTTGAACAAGCTCATGTTATACCATAACACCGTCACAAATGTAATATCAGTTGTGTAAATTAATGATCATATCAAGCCGGACAGACACTTCGTATTTGTATTGATGATGTATGTAATTTTGTCAACTTGTGTTACACCTTTTATCAGATTTGTGTATGGATCATGATACTTAGATGTGGGATCTCACACTGAATGTAATAAAGTTAACAAAAGCCCAATTTTTTGTCTGAGAGTTTTGTTATTTATGGTATTAATAAATTGATATTGCAAAAGTGTTATACACTCTCTTGTACTTTCAACTGCACGTCAAATAGAAACTGATATGGCGACCAATCCAGGGCAGGTCGGGATTCATTCATGCAATATAGCAATACAAAAAACAAAGGTTACATAGAAAGTTATGAACTTGTAATACACTGTGATGTGTCTTCAAAAAGAGCCAAAGTAGATTACAGTTAAACAAAGATAACACAAGACCTGCTTCAAAACAACTAATGTCTAAGGTGATTTTCGTCTCATTTAGTACTGGGTAAAGTGAACCCAGTAAACCATTAGAGTCATGCAGTAATGTCCATTAAAAGTATGTTTTGGTAACATGAAGCATCTGGCTCCTGGTAATTGCTCCCTCTGGCATTATCCTACATGAAGAACTTCGCATATCCAACTGTCTAATCTCCTAAGAAATGAGCAAAATTAAAAAACATCCTGCTCCTCTGCGTTGGACGTATTTGCTATTAAATTCCAAAGCATGAGAGAAGGACGTTTTCTGGAGGGCAACCAAGGTTTATGCAGCTCACACTTTTGGAGCAAAACATCCTTGGTCTTACAAAAACGCAAACAAAACAAAGAAAATCTGCTTTAACTCGAAGCGGTGTTAGTTGTAAAATAATCTCTGCCCTCTGCATGAGGGAAACACCTTTACCTGGATAAACTCCAAAAAGGTTTTTTAGTAGCAATGTGTTGGCCCATGTGAACACATCTCCAGGACTCATGCTGTCTTTGGTCCCTTGACTGAAGCTATCCCGGATGTGTCGTTTCAGAAAAAAAGCGTTGGGATCCTTCTCGCCGTACGCCACCAGCAGCAACATCCACATAAACCCCATGTAGGCTGCAACAAATGGGCACATCAACGTTAAACACACTCTACATCATTAACAGAATGAGGCATCGGAGGTCAGTTAGAAATAATTAAAAGCAATTGCTGCGATTTTGGAGGATACATGTTTAAATTCCCAGCTGTGATGATCATGGCCATAAAATGGCACATAATAGACGTGAAAAGGTTTTAATGATGATAAGCCATGTAATAATATGATAATGGTCCATCAGTATGTAATTATAATAACAACATAGAGTTGTTAGCTCAATATGGTTAGTTAAAAAACAATGAATGTATATATATATATATATATATATATATATATATATGAAGCATTTTGCTGATCATCTTTCGCCCCTTTGTATATTAAATATTAATTTCGGTTGGTTGACTTTTAAATTGATTTACAGTTGCGTCTAGCTTTTATTTCACAGGAGACATATTTTACTTGTAACACTAATGAAGGCTTTGTACTAATTAAGAAACTCAGTAAGTCATGACGGAGAGGACCACAAGGTATTGTTTTTTATCCTAATTCAATCATTTATTCAGGTATGTAATAACTTCAGTGCAATTTTTTTTTTTTATCATTAGATACATTTATTTCAGAAAATGTGACAGGGAGCCAGCATGCAACCAGGATCCTGAAACTCAGGCTGCTAAATGGATTTCAGCTATAACTAATTGTATTATTACACCTCTTTTTTTCATACTGTCAAACATTTCATACTGTCCTGAACGTCTGCCCTGAAATGCCTAAAGTCCGTTGAAAATTAATGAATGACAAGGTGGCCAGTGAGTTTAATTCGACCTGTCACATTCATTCCATGCTGTTTTTTTCCATCTTTTTGTGTTTGCAAATTAATAGAAAGAGTTATAATGGGATAGCTAAAAATGAGTGTGGATTCGGGTTTGCTTTTACTAACACTGAAGCCTGTGAATGACAAATGATATAATTGCATTGTACTATTACAAATGTATAATAAAAAGTACTTATAACTTAATAAAGCCAAATAACTGTGTTTTTACTTACTCAAAATCTCCTTGAGGAGGGCAAAGGCTTTTTGTTCCATAATCTTGTACCTTTTCATCTTCTCAATGTCAGCAGCAGCAGGCGGCACATAGAGACTGTTATCCCGTCTGACTGTTAGTAGTTCCTTACAATCACCTGGGGATGAAGAGTTATTGTATATTTTAACACCTTAACATTTAAGGACATAATATACAATAACAGTATAGTGTTGGATTTGTTACTAAAAACACAGGGAAATAAAGGAATATATACACACAAATCACATGAAAGGGCAGGCAAACACCCATAGGCAGCAGAGTGATAGGACACTGGTTGGGCAAACAATCACAAAAAGCGTGCTTTTTTCAATCATTTACCTAGATTTTTGTCATTTCTTTCAAACGCCACATTTTGAAAATCTTCCTCATCCACTTTCTTTATTACGAGTGCAAAGAAAATTGCCAGAAATATCACCTGTGGTAAAATATATTAGTGAATTATGATGTGCTTATTATCTTCAATTATCTTCATAGGAAGGTTAAAACTTTGAAATAAACTATGAAATGAACCTTTCTAAAACACAAAGATTCCAATGTAAATACTGGTGTAATAGTGAGTTATAAAGAGGGAATGGCTGCTTCTTCTCACCTTGAGTGGCTGAATGACGAGGATACTCTGAAAAAATGAGACAATCATGGACACCAACCAGCTTGCAGAGCGTTCCTTCCCAAATTTCAACCCATAAAGCATTGTGAAATATCCTGAAACAAAACTGCTTGCGATCATAAGCGCCCAGCCAACAAAAATGAACCACCATGGAAACCCTCCGTTACAGCACCCTCTTTTCTTCCGATTACCATCACCATCAGTGCTGTCTTCAGGACTCAACCTGAAGGTGAAAGCAGTGAAAGAATATAATTAACTTAACTATAACCTCTCCTCTGAAGTGTATGTACTGCATTTTAATTGAGTCACAGATATAATTAACTGTATGTGTTAAAAAATATATACTTTACTATGTAATGGTAAGGTGAATGTAAGCCAATTATCCACAGATTGTGTATTCCTTCATGAATAGGTTTGGAGAAAAAAGTTCCTCAACATTATTGCTGCCATAGATATATATAGGATAAGAAAAAAGCAGTACCATTGTCATGTTTGTATGGTCAAGATGAAGCTACAGGTGCTAAGATTAGCTTGGCTTAGCATCAAGACAAGGAAATATTATGGGAGGGGGGGTGACTGTTAGCCGGGATCAGTTAAAAAGTATCAATATCTGCCACCACCTTGTTAACAATACAATGTTAACATGTTTGGTGTTACGGTGGGTTTCACATTTTTGGTCTACAGCGGCTATTTGCTTTCCCCTACTTTTAGTATTTATGCTAAATTAAGCTAACCATCTCATAACTCTAGCTTCATATTAGGCATAAAGAAAGTAAAGTTAATTTGATATTTTAACTATTTTAAAATGACTGACTGTCGTTTTCCAAACTTTACAGTCCAATATGCAATTCAATTAAATTATTTTTGACAAAACACATTGCAGTGCCCTGAAATATAATATTATAATGAATAATAAACACATACAAAAAATATGATATGGAAGTAAGTTGGACCAAAATTCAGAACAGAAAGTGAGGCAGGTACAACTAATGAAAACGTTTAAGTAAGGAGGCAGGCTAACGTAATCAAAAGGAAAAATGGTGCACACACAAAACAAAGACAGCAAAAGTTCCCATCAGATCCACAGCAGGAATAATATATGGGAAACATTGTTGAGAATCATTGACGGAAATCTGAAAACACTGGCAAAGAAAGGAATACACACATAACTAATCACATGAACAAGACACAGCTGGATAGGGCAGGCAAGGGAATAAAGGCAGCAAGGTGATTAGACACAGTTGGATCGAATCACAAAAGTTAGGGAAAACAGAGGCCCAATTCCAAGTCACCCCCTTGCCTACACCCTACCCCTACACACTCCCCCTCTGCAAACGGTCTGTTAAACAGTCTGTTAAACCCCGAGCCTGTTTTTCAGGTTTCAGGCTCGAAAATGACATTACCAGAACAAATGACCATATCTTCCCTTCTAAAAGGGTTAAATTAATAATCTTTTTTCTCAAAGTAATGATAAACCTGTGAGTTGGATGTAGAACAGTCAGAATAAATATAGATGTTTTTTGTTTTAAAGAAAATTCAGATTGAACATGGTAAAAAACTGTAAATTATAGTGTCCTTCCAAAACATATTTTGTACTAGTGAAAACTAACCTTGGATGATGCGTTAGTAGACTAAAAGCTTTAGGAATCCAAAGTACAACATATAATAAGTACCCTGTATCAGGATTGATGCAAACAAAGTGACATTTGACCTTTTTAGAGAGGTTTAGCAAAAAAAAACCTCTTCTGGGGCCATTTGGGTGGATTTTTCATATCTCTGGCCCCCCTTGCTTGATTTTGACATGTGACATATCTTTTTAACCGTCAGAGCCAATGGAATCGAGGGGAACTCACACATAGTCCTTATTTGGTAATGTGTGTGTGTTAGACTGCCGCATAGCCAAGACCGGAAGCAGCAGCCACTCTGGTTGCTACCATTAGTAGCTAACTTTTGCTCTGCGATTTTTACATAAAAATGGAATTATGGATTATAAATGAAATAATTTTTTTATACAGAGACGTTAAAAACCTATGGATTAACCGATTCAGCCGCGTTTTTCTCGTTTTAATGCCACTGAACACGTCTTTTGATCAGATTGACAGCTACGGTGAGACGATCTCCCTAGAAGCTCCGTAAAGGTACGTGTTGTGATGTCTGTGTTTGCTTCCCCTGTCGCGAGTTCGGATGACTCAGTGATGATACTATATACCTAAATAATCTGTGGAACCTCAGCTTTAATCGGATATCTTGTATGTGCAGCTAAAATAAGTAATAAGGGTACTTGTATCTTGAGTTCTGTGCCAATGTCCGTTAGTATTTTTCGCTAAGGGGTCATTTAGATGCTTCTTATGAGACTTGTGTTTTGTTTTGGTAAAAATGGTTTGTATCGTCAGTTAGCTGAGATTATTTCCGTTAATCTGGTATAACACATTAATAGGTTCTTAAACATTAAGATTCCCTGAGACATAGTGTCGTGAAAAAAAAAAACTGGGTCCGGACCTTGGGGTTTAACCATGGGTTTAACAGGTTAAGTGCTGTTCCAAACCAACGAGTCTGCAGCGGTGCTGACTGGAGACCGGTCTCTCTCTGTCCGTCAGGAAACAAGCTGTTAACAAGTAGTTCCAGCAAACATCCACTGATAAATTGCGATGTTAACAACCTCATGATAACCTCATATGTTTTAACTTAGGATCATACCTGTGTTTAGTCTAGAAAAAGGTAAATGTGTGCATTTTATTATAAAGTTGTGTATATTTACAGACTGTTGCAAAAACTAAGAAGCTTATAAAAATCAGGTTTAAAACTAAAATAGTTTTACAAAAAAGTAACACAATGAAAGATGTTTGGAGTTTTATTTGAGTTATTAATTTACATTTTTTGTCAAAGAGATGCTGATTTGAAACCGTTGTTACATACAGTTACGGCATTTCCTGTTTCTGCCGGAGAGAGGGGAGGCCGTCCCAAAGCTTGCCGCTGTATTTATACCCTTAACCCTTAATGGAGGGAACTTCATTCAGCTGCGAGTGTGGCTACAGACAGAGTTTACTCCGTCACGGAGGGGTAGGGTCGAGGGCGTGATTTGGGATTGGGCCAGAGTGTTCATACACGATGAAAAAGGAAACAGAAAATGCTAACATTCAAGGCTCTGGCATACATTTAAAGATGATAGTGAATAACACTTGACAAACCACGAGGGTTGTCTTTATAACAGGTGACTTCCTTACTTCCTCTGGTTGGGTTCTTCAGGGTTGTTAAAGCCGGATGTAGAAAGCTGATCTTCAAGGAACACTTTCATGCCATGGACCTGCTGCAGAGCCCGGCTGTAGCTGTGTGGGTCGGGGAAGTCGGAGGGTCCCAGCTGACTCAGCTGTTTGTGGATGTGACACAGCTGCCTGTATAGATACTGGTTTTTGTTGCTCTTCTTCTGAATCCCCTCCAGTGTTGACCCAGGATGCATAGTAGGAGTGTACTCTGAAAGTGTATATAATTTCTGATTTAGTAAACTAGTTTGCAATTGGTGTCTGATATTAGAAATGCAAACACATGCATTATAGCTCACCTATTATGCTATATTTGAACAATATATTATAGGGCAATATCTATACAAAACATTTCTCTGAAGTGTTTTGCTCAAAATACCAAAAAGGTCACCCATTGTAGCCATGCCTCATACCCCTCTATTTCAGCCCTGTTACTAAAGTGCTGATTCTGGGTCTGTAGCTTTAAATGTAACCCAAGCTATTGCTGGCCACGCCCCTTTCCTCATGCAAGCGGTGAGCGGGAAGAGAAGAGTGTCTACTCTACCGGCAGAAACTCAAAACGCCATATTATGTTCCAAACCACATCAAGGATTATTTCTGAAACAGTATGGAGCTCAAGCGCTTTCTCTCTCGCGGGTTTACCACAAGGTTAGTACCTTTTTATATCCGGCATTTTTACACATATTCTCTCCAGTACAGCGTTAGCTCTGAGTGTTAGTGATGCTTGCTAATGTAAACAAAGACCATATTACTTTAAAAACACCAGGAGTTCAACGTAAAGCCAGCCCACATTTTAGTAATGTCATCATGACCACAGCAAATCTGGATCAGCTCAGTTGTACCCCCGTTTTTATGTGGGTAAGGAGGAGAAGAGAGAGGGTTGTATTTTTATAATCTCCTTACACACCGGGGACACATATTTATGTATAAAAGACATAAAAAAGTGCACTTTGCATGATACTTGTTGTGTTTGGACAGAAAGTGAATTGTTTTTCCTGGAGTCATTCCGACAAATGTTCAACCATTTGTGCAGTTCCTTTTTATTTGTATTAATACATATAGCAACTGGCAGCGGCGCCGGATTCATTTCAGAAGTGGGGGGGCCAAAAAGTGCGTGTGTATGTGACAGCCTACTTGCCAACCCTCCCCATTTTCGCGGGAGACTCCCGTTTACCTCCCGGGGTCATATTTATCCCGCATTTCTTCCGATTTCTGACTAAATCTGATTTGTTTCATTCTAACATAACGCACCAAATGTTACTGTTTCCACTCGGACTTCAATACAGCTACACCATTGTTTGGTTTCCATGGTAACGTGTCTCTTTAGCGCGAGCAAATGAAAGTCTGAGAGGGTGTTCAGGAGGAAGATAGTCAGAGAAAACAGAACAAGAATGGACAACTCAACCCTCTGCTCACTCCTTTCCTGTAAATTAAACTATACAGACCAGCCCACACATCATTCCATCTCTTCTTTTTTCCTGCTACGCTCTTGTTTGACAAGCTGAATGTTGACTGGTGTTTGACTGAAGTAAGCTCTGTGAAAAGTTCCAGTTATTAACTCGGTATTTAAAAAGCTGTCATCTCCACATTTGGAGAAAGTTACAAGCCGTTTGACAGCAGCACATCTGCATATTTCACAGAAGGCTCGTTTAGTGGTTTTGCAAATAATTAACCACTCTCTGTTTTTGTACCATTCTGCTTTGAAGTAGGCCTACCTTTCTTTGCCCGTCACAATGTCCCGACAACAAACCTCCATGCAGTCGGAACCAGCCTGTTTCGGTTCAACGATGCCGGCGGCAGCGGTTTTGACAGCCTCTGCGGCCGCAGAGCTGCTGCTGGTTCATGGTTGAAGGGCCAGGCTCCGGAGTTGTGGATGTCAGGGATGTGACATTCAAGTTGTTGAATTTTAGCTTAGTTTGACTGTATTTTGTTTTCTTATGCGCCGGTTCTTCTGACATGTTTGCAAGTTTATCTATCTAGGTTAACGCCTGACACACACTGAACAACGTAACACATAACGTAAACAACGTAACAAATAAACACATCTAAGCTTTGTTATTGGTTGTAATGTACATGGATACATTTGAATGGTGTGACAATGTCCTATTTGATTGGATTAAAATGTACATATTCTTCCTGTTATGTCTGCCTGCTGTATTTTACCTAATGCAAAGTGACCTGCTCCATCGAAATCAGTCGCATTGATCCGAAGACACATTTTGAGTTGTAGCCTATACACTGTTGGAAAGAGGAGATTCCTAGCTTTCTAATGGCAGTGCTGGAATTGGGCCGGTACTCACCGGTACGCAGTACCGGCACTTCTGGTTCTCACCCATGGAGTACCGGCACTTCTTGCTCAGTACCGGCATGCTGGCAGTACTCCGGTACTCATGCACCGTGCCAGTACTCAACACTCTCCCGCCGTTCTTATTATACATCCATATATATATATACAGCCGCCCGGTACTCAGTAGATGCGTCATGAGGTGCCGAACGGACATTCTCATCGCTCTAACCGCTGGAGTTTCACAGCGGCTGTCAGCTGTTTACTCCTGTCATTCAAACAGAACGTGCTGGAGAGGGGGCGGGGCTTATCTTCTCAATGTAAATACTGTGGTGGAAACGACTATGTCAAAATTAACCTATTTGACCGTGATTTAATAGTAATACACGTTTCAAAATAATAATAATAATAATGCCGAAGTAACAACATACTGAAAACTGTTAGTAAAACCATGTTTTAATGCTTTACAATTTACATACCTAGATGCACGTGTGTTGTGTTTATGCAGTGCAACTCCCACCCAGTGGGTGGCTATGTAGAGTGATAGAACAGAGCAGGCACGCCCCCGAGAGAAGGAAAGCAAGTCACGTCACAAATTAGCATTTCTAAAATGTTAGCGTGGATTAATAAAAGTGCAAAAAGACAGCGGTTGTCGCCGGAAGAAACTTCAAATACAGAGAATGCTGTGCCTGTGTTGGAAATTGTGTCTGATGGGGAGCTTTCTCCTGATTGATCCTCCTGCTCCAAGTTCTAGTGCATTAGCATTAGCACTAGCTCCGCCGCCTCCTCCAGAGCCTCTAACGTTAGCTGCTGCTGGCGCAACTGCCACCACCAACACCGGGCAAAGCGATGCACCTGACTGCTGGACAACGGACCAGGTGCAATATTTTTGCAAGACCAATGCATGGCTCCTTCTTAAAGATAAGAAGCTAGGGTGTCGGATATGCAGAGATGTCAAATCTTTGGGAATACACACTGGACAAGGACTGAAACTGTCAACTGAATGGGGTGAGTGTGCAGTGTCTCATTTCGGTGTTGACAAGGGCAAACAACAAGCTAGCCTGAGAAAAAAAATCAAAGAACATAAAGAATCACAAGCCCATGTAAAAGCTGCTGACATCCTTACATCTGCTTCACGTGAAACTATTCAACATCAAGTGCAGTCTATGCATAAATCTGAATTAGACACCACTATCAGAGTTTTTCGAACGGCATATAAAATTGGCAAACATAGCCGGCCATTCACAGACATGCCAATTGATTTGAATGTACAGAAACTGAATGGGCTGAACGTGGGCAGGGTTTTGCACTCCAATAAAACCTGTGGCGAAATCATCGACCACATAGCTCATGAGCTGAAGAAAAAAATGGCAAAAGACATTACAGAAAACCAAAGAAAACTCTGTGTTTTGGTCGATGAATCTACCACGATTAGTGGTAAAACGGTGCTTGTTGTGTGTCTACGCTCAGCATTAGCTGATGCTGAGCCCGAAACGTTTTTTTGGGAGCTGATCGAGTTGGATGGAACAACGGCTGATGACATCACAAAGGCGTTAATGGAGTGTCTTGGAAGAGATTTTAACGAGGACTTTTTAGGTCAGTGTTTCGTTTCTTTTGCATGTGATGGGGCTTCAGTCATGCTAGGGAAGAGAACAGGCGTTGCTACCCAGTTGTGTAGTAAATTCCCAAGCCTGTTTGTGTGGCACTGCTCCAATCATCGTCTAGAGCTGGCAGTTGGGGATGTGGTCAAGGAGGTCTCAGGGCTCAATCATTTCCAGATCTTTTTTGACAAACTCTATTCCTTGTTCCATGCCTCCCCCAAAAATCAGAGGCAGTTAGCGCAGTGTGCGCAAGCAGTCGGACAGCGTCTCCTGGTGATAGGGCGTGTTTTGTCCATCCGCTGGGTGGCTTCAAGTGAAAGGAGCGTCAGAGCAGTCTGGGAAAACTACCGAGTGCTTCATGATCACTTCACAAATGCTGCAAACGACACGAGCAGGGATTCCAGAGACAGAGCAAAGTACAAGGGCCTGGATGATGTGCTCACATCTGCAACGTTTGTCAGCAATCTGGGACTGATGTACGATGCGCTCACAGAGCTCAGCGACCTCTCTCGGCAACTCCAAAAAAGAGAGATGACACTGCCTACAGCAGATAGGCTCTTAACTCGAGAAATACGAGTTTTTGAATCCATGGTCACCATGCCTGGCCCACACATGACTACAGTTCATACAGCTCTAGCTGAGAAGTCCTTCAAGGGTGTTGCCCTGCGTGAGAATGGCAGGCTTGTACAGATTCATGCAGGTCAGTTTTTCCGCAGTATGGTAGAGAATCTGAGACACAGAATGACTTCCACAATCTCCTCTCATGTCAGCACAAGAGAAATCCCATTACATGGCCGGGAGGCCCGGGACAATCAGCTAATCCAGGACATGAAAGTTATCCATCCTGGAAGTTGGCCTGAAGAGAAGTTAGACGTACAGTATGGGGACGTAGAGGTGCTACGTTTGTGCGAAGTGCTGAAAGTGGACAGGAGAGAGACTGTTCAGGGCTTTCGCGAATACAAGGAAACCAGGGCATCCCGTACACCTGCTGCCATGGAGCCTCTACTGAAAGCAGTCCGAACCATCGCTGTCTCCACTAGTGAGTGTGAGCGGGCATTCAGCTGCATGAACGATATCCTTACTGCAAAAAGGAATGCTCTCTCTGTCAGCCGACTGTCCAGCCTGGTTTTCATTAAATGTAATGGACCATCACTAGGACAGTTCAATCCGGAACAGTATGTGAGGTCCTGGCTGGCAAAGGGAAGGAGAAGTGCTGATGAAAGAGCCTGTCCAGCTCCAGCCCCTGATACTGATGTCCCCAAGGCCTTCTGGAGCCTTTTCTAACAATGTGAAGTATATTGCAAAGCAGCTCACCCAGTGAGAAGA